TTTCTCCGTATCAGGTATAATCCTCTCCCACTCCTTTTGGTTCAGATCTGGTTCAGTTTATTGTTCAAGATTGATCCATGAAAATATGATTTTCTAAATGGGGAATACGATTCCCAGTTGAAGGGAGAGATAAAATTTTTGAAATTCGCCCCTTATTCCGCAATCTTTGGGCGTCCATAGGAGAGGTGGCTCTATTGCCTACTTGAATGGTGACGAGCTGGAGAGGTGGCTCTGTTGCCTAACTGAGTGGTGACGAGCTGGAGAGGTGGCTCTGTTGCCTAGCTGAATGGTGATGAGCTGGAGAGGTGGCTCTATTGCGACTTGCAAGGAAACAATGTCAGAGTGCCTGGGTTGCTTTAGCCGGGGTGGGCACTCCAATGCTTAAGTTAGCGAATCAGAGATTTTAAGATAGCCAAATGTGAGAGAGCTGGAGAGCTGCGAGAACTAAATTGCGCATCTACCTGCCGTGGGTCTCGCAAAACGCTCCCGGAATCCTCAGCGAACGACATAGGGGTTGTTCCGCTTTGGAAGGAGGATAACGTGCCAATTAATAAGGCTTGTCGTTTCCCTTCGATTCGGGCGGGATGGAGATAAGGCCTACGGTTACGCGTCGTGTTCCCGAAGGGTTTGGAGACAACTGGCAAGCTTCTAGAGAGGTAGGCCGCCAGGTCGGCGACAGAGGCAGATCGCCAGGTCGCCAGGTCGGCAGTAGAGGTAGGTCGCCAGGTCGGCGGCAGAGGCAGGTCTTCAGGTCGGCAACAGAAGTAGGTCGCCAGGTTGGTGGCAGAGGCAGGTCACCAGTTGGGACCCCATTTTGGCTAAAGGCAAGTTGTCGCCTAGGTGATGCTGGGATGTAGTCTAGCTGTTATGATATTCCATGTGTCATGATGTCAGTGGAGGGCCAAATCTGCCCTCATCAATTACCCCCCACTCCAAAGCTGAGATCAACTGAAAGCGGTTTGGCTTCCCCTTGCTATGTGTGTTGATGTTGGAATTTAAATAGCGGGTCGGTGTCACGGCTGCACTGTGTTAGTCCTCTAAGGTGCTGGTCACCTTCTCCTACGATAAGCCACAAGGAGCTCAATCTGCAGGGGCAACTTTACTAACTGCAGTTTGCCAGTTCGCATGGGAACCTTGAAAGGCTCAACCCATAAGGGCGACTGCAGTCTGTTGGTCGCCGACTCCTGTGGGAGCCATTAAGGGCTTGACCTGTAGGGTGACCTCGCGAACAGGGCTAACAAGGCTCGTCCGGGCTGATTATGTGTGTCGCTAGGTTGGTGGAAGTAGGTTGCCATCTTGGCGGTAGAGGCTGATCACTTGGTCGGTGGGAGTAGGTCGCCAAGTCGGTGGAAGCAAGTCGCCAGTTTGGAGATAGGTCTCCAGGTCGCCAAGTCGTCGGAATTTGACAGTCTAGTTTTGCTTTCAACACCTCAGTCTATAGACACCTCGTCACCTTGGCAAGACTGATTTGCGAGGGTGGCTCCACAACCTGCTGGTCATCAACTCCCACGTAAAGCATGGAGGGCTCAATCTGTGGCGCGACCTCACAGTTTGTTGGCTATCAACTCCCACGAGAACCACGGAGGTCTCGACCTGTGGGGTGGCCTCACATTCTATTGGCCGTCAACTCTCGCAGAGAGCACGTAGAGCTCGACATATGGGAGTGGCCTCATAGTTGGGGAGATTCTGTCCAGGCAAGACTGCGAGAACTCGTTTCGATTAATCACTTTGCTTCTACCCCCCTAGGGGGTTCTTTCGATCAAGTGCTATTGTTGTTGCTTGAAGGTGTTATTACTTGACGCTCAGAGAATTGGGTGAGGACATAGCCTTTTGTAGCGTTTCCCACAGACAACGCCAATTGATAGTGCGCGATCTAGATACTCCTAGCTGGAAGACGATCCGAACTCCGACTGGGCGGCGAGCTGGACTGATCTGCAAAATCGTGGATC